CTTTAAGATGTGGAAGGCTACATGATGTGTTGTTTCATTTAATGAAGACCGAGATTAGTCTCTTCTTGTTCATCCCATGCTATACTGTTCCTATATTGCACACAGGAAAGTTTGTTCAATAACAAAACATTATTTGTTTAAATAAACTTGTGTTAGTCTTCTTGTACAGACCTAAAAAAATTGTGTGAGTTTTCCTTAAAATCATTGAACAAACTATATTTTCAGTAGTGTAAGCAACACTTTTTTTTAAAGAAAAAACTGAAATCCATAGCTATATAAATGTGACTTCATAATGTAGTTTGCAAATGAAATTCATATTAAATTCTCAAACAAATATCAGTGAGGGTGAGAGTTTAAGAACATATCTCTGTAATAACCATGCTATACTGTTCCTATATTGCACACAGGAAAGTTTGTTCAATAACAAAACATTATTTGTTTAAATAAACTTGTGTTAGTCTTCTTGTACAGACCTAAAAAAATTGTGTGAGTTTTCCTTAAAATCATTGAACAAACTATATTTTCAGTAGTGTAAGCAACACTTTTTTTAAAGAAAAAACTGAAATCCATAGCTATATAAATGTGACTTCATAATGTAGTTTGCAAATGAAATTCATATTAAATTCTCAAACAAATATCAGTGAGGGTGAGAGTTTAAGAACATATCTCTGTAATATATAGGGACGCTAAATCATTATTCAGTTGAAATAGTGCGTTTAAACCCCACAATAGGATGACTTGCACTTCTTTTTCATTGTGATTTGTTTATGAATGTTCATATTGGCCTGAGGAACATGTTTTTACATGTGCAATACATTAAGAGAAAAAGACCTAAGCTTGACAAGCATTCTGTAATGAGACAGAAACAATCAGTTGTTTGAATTAGATTTGAATAAGGGAAGTAGGGCTTGTTCCTGAAAGGATTGGGAGTTCAATATGACTATATGTGAGCAATTTGTCTTTTTAAACTAAATCTTATGCCTAGACCACTCTGATAACCTCATGCAAACTTTTATCCCTTGGCAATTATTTCATTATCTAGTTTCTGAGTATTGCTGATGATCTGATAGTCCAAGGCAGTCCATTATGTAATAGCTGTTGATCCAAGGCACTTGCTCACTGCATGCGATCAAGCACTGGCCAACAGTGAGTTTTACGGAGCGGTGAGATCTAAACCTCATCCGATGCTTGTCATTTTTGCATTTTTCATCACTCAACTACCTGAGTGATGCCAACGAGACCTCGTCCCAGCGCAGCAGCGGCTTTCACGAATGCAGCGCATGAATATGATCTCGAGCAGCACGCTACTTCGGAAGTAGGTCACCGATTAAACGTGTCTTGTCAGCTGTGTGTGCTCCCCTCGTTTCATTTCACTGTTGAACATCGATATTATTGTAATAGCTCAACAACAGGGCCTTCGTTGCTCGCGGAACGTGATTATTTGATCGGGAATACAGCGGAGTGAGTGGATGACGAGGTAAATGAAGGATTTACTAATCTGTTTTATCTTGGTTATGCGCTTTTCTCTAGCGCTCGCGGTGTCGCGTTCGCTCTCGGTGGGGAAATAGCCTGAAACAAGACATGATCCGCAATCATTGCTGTATAAATTCGGTTCGAGAGGCGCTTTTTAGTTGGACTTGCGAAACTGTTCTTTCGTTGTGCTTAGGATACCATCGCGAAGGTTGGAAATTTCGGCAGGGACCGACCGAGCGCTTTGCGCTTCGGCGTTTGATTCTCACGTTTGGCCGTTTAGTGTCATTTTCAACGCTGACATTAATTGCTCGGGCTTGAGTTGACCGTGCTGGTTCGGTTTCGCTGTTGGGGGGTACGCGGTGGCAGAAACCGTATAGGATGTGAGGCGAACAGAGCTGTTTTTTTAGTGTGTGTGTGTGTGATACGCCCTATGAGCCATGCAAGCTTCTCATCATCATACACCTCCAGCACGCGCTTGCCGCCTTTATCCCGGATTACTTTAATCGCGCTGTTCATTTCACTCAGATGCGTTTCTTCCTTTCTTTTTTTCAGTCCACACCTTCCCGTTCTCCATATCTGCAGTGTAGGAGGAAAAAAGAACAACATCTATTTGTGTACAGTGAGTGAGGGGTAAATTCCAAATTGCGCGAAGGAAAAAGCAACTTCTTTAGTCTCTAAGCGCCAGGTATCACGTTAAACCGCATTCCCATCTATTAAAGCGCAGACTGCACGCATTTGCCCTAACGTTTTCGTTTTACGCCCGAAACGCCAGATAGCTATCCGGTCATTTAAGTCATGGGCTGAGACCTCATCTCGAAAAAAAACCCCTGAATGGTGGTAAATTATGGGCAGCAGTCCATTTCCTTTCACCCTTCCTGAAACTAGAGAGGCAACCTCTAATTTTCCACAATATCATGCCAACAATTCATCCTCCAGCTACCTTTCATTGGAGAGTTTGTGTTGTCTCACTCAATTGGACATGACCAGCAGTTAGTCTATTATTTTATGAGCCCCACATCCCTCCAGATCAATAACTTGTGACATTCACTGAATTACAGACTGTTGATTTAGTTTTTAGTGGCAATTTGAAAGTTTATTTAAAGCTTTTCACATTTGTGAACTGCACTAGAGAATTAATTTGCAGTAATGGTCTTTATACAATCAATGGAAGAGAAATAATACCCTGATAGCACGCACACATCTCGGAGACGTCTATTTGACGTCTGCATTTACATCTGGGAGACATATTTTTTTACAGTGTTTGCTCATCTGCAATACGTCTATAAGACTTTTTCTATCAGATGTCAAATAGATGTCTATTAGATGTTTATGATTTAGAATGTATATAAAATGGACATCTTACAGACGTCTGTTAGATGTTTGTACACAGCAGATGCTTTCCAGATCAAGTGATCTTTAACAGACATCTTGCAGATGTATGTGTGCTATCTGGGTAGGCTTTCAACAAAGAATTTTATTTTATGGGATTGTGAAAAGTTTTATTTCTGGGTTAATGTTGATCCTTGGTAAATTAGAGATTTTAGAGGGTTTTTTTCTTTATTGGTAACCAATGGAAATCCAACATTTAGTATTTTTGAATGCACATTTTAATCATAAATAATATAATAAATATTGATCTCTACTGTAATATTTGATGTTTGGTTATTTTCCTTTTAGTATAAGGGTCAATCTATTTGGTGAAATATTTTAAAATAGTCACTTTTGTGGTTAGTTGAACCACATAATGATTCCTCTCTTTATCTGGCATGGCTGAATGATTTTAAATAGAGAGCATTAGAACAGCTGAAGAGGATTGTTGCTGAAATGAGAGAATGCTACAGTTGTCAATTATGGTAGATGCCTTTTTGTGTCCATATTTTACTGTTTGGTTTTAGGAATGTGCATAAAAGTGTTTCTTTCACGGATGCTGAACTTGCTCTGTGCATTGTAGAGGAGAGCGCTGCATGCGTGCATCTGAGGTTGACTGATGGTTATGATGACCTCTTTTATTTGACAGATGGAGATTCAAATACAGCAGCTGTCAAACTTAATAACCGAGCACATGAATAAATGAATCTATTCACACAATCCAAGCAAGCCTGTAGCATTTCAAACCTTTTCTGTCTTTCATAGTGGAGCACAGTGATACTAATAATACAGAAAATAAAACGCAAAATCATATTTGAAATTACAGCGATGCATCAAAAAAAAAAATTTGATGTCTTTGATGAATAATAATAGCTACGAAGTCAAACTTCAGAGTCAGCTGGAAAGCCTCAAGAACTTCTGTTCTTTTTAAAGGAAGAGGAACTTGTCAATAGGTCAAAGCAGGTAGTGTTTTGTGTCAGTTAGTGTTGTTTCATATGGAGCCCAATTACTGTCGTATGTCTCAGTGTGTGTTTGACCCCTGGCTTGCCTTTCATTTAATCAATAGGTCTTGGGGAAACATGTTGGACATGTTGAATCTCCAGAATGTCACCATTAATGTCATTGAATAATTGCATTAATTTCTCATCTGCAAATTTAAAAGAATTCTACCTTAAATGTCCCACAAAAACAAATGTTGCAAATCAAATACGTTTTATCTGGAGAACAGCAATTTAAGTGGCACTTTAGAAACTAGAGGCACTCAGACTTGTTATTTTTACCAATCAAGTGTCTCTGTTCAACTGTCTCTTAAAGGAATTCCCAAAAATGAAAGTTGTGTCATTATTTACTCAGCGTCTTGTTGTTTTAAAGACATTGGGAATTTCAGTCATCATACTTTTTTGGAAAAGGGCACATTAAACGTTTCCCTTTTTTTAGTTTTTAGAAGAAATAAAGCGATATGACTTACTTTGAAACAACACAAGGGTGACCAATGACAGAATGTTCATTTTTTTGGGTGGACTTTGCCTTTAAATTATGCAGAATGTCAGAGTGTAAATAGAAATAGCTGACCTAAGTTTCAGACATTGTGGTACTTTCACATCAATCATACTAACAGGCAGTGCCATAATATTGTGTTTCATGGTCTCTCTGTATATGTTTTAGCAATTACATCATCATTCATTTAAAAAATGAACATAGGCTAATTATGGCAGTCTTCCAGGTCTATTAGAGATGAATGTAATCAGTTCTTGTGCCCATGATGCTATGTGTTAAAGGAATGACTTGGGTTAAATCTCAGAAATGTTACACACATGCATTTTATGTATTCAAGTTGAAAGATTTTTGTTACAAAAGACCAAAACAGCATATGCTCATTAAATAATTATATTTATTACACCTACGCAGTTTAGTGACCATGTTTGTCCCCGTCCAATTAAAATTCTATAAATTCTTGCCAGACCAGCAACCTGATTAAGGTGGCACATAAGGCCACATTTGTGCTGATTTTTCAACATTAGTTCACATAGCCGGTCGCATTAATATTAATTAGTCGAGGTTATGAAAGTTGTGATGGCTTCTGTACACACTATATATTTAATCACAGTGGTTACAGCTTTGAAATTACAAATTAACAATGCTTTATATTTCCTTTATAGGTTTTGCATGGCAAAGTGTTATGACCCATGCACGGCAGAGGAACTCTTTATGTGGATATAAGAGTGAATCTGCAGACCAGGTGAGCTGTCAGACAACTATGGACAGAACTTGGCCAGAAAAGAAGGCTAAAAGATGTTCTACCCAAAGAGGAAAAGGTAAGGAGATAAAAGGAAAGGCCGCTGAGAGAGACCGGAAGCTGTACCCTCTCAGGGGACGACATGGATTGGGTGAAGTAAGCGCGCTTAACTGCTGTGTCGTACTGACACGCTTGGACGAGAGCGAAACGTGTAGGAACGGCATGAAGGCCCAGGTGAAGGAAATGCAGGGGAAGGCGAAAATATGCAAGTGCCGCAAGAAAGCTTGTAAGACTTGCCGGTCAGCGCCTGAACCAAAAAGCAAAGCGAAACCTGATAAATCTGCCTTATGCACAGAATTCATCCTCGAACCTCGCCAAAGGCGGCTGGCCTCTCTGAACGCAGAAGCTGTTAACAGTCTGCTGTTGGACAGTGATTCCCAGCAGAAATCAAAACCCTCAAGGAAGCAGCAACAGACAAAAGGAGACACTTCTCTCTCTAAAGACACAACAAAATATAATGATTGTTCCAGAAAAGGTCAAGACAACCGGAAACGCGCTTGCACCGGAGAGACCGAACAATGTCGAAAGCCCAAAAAAGCAAAGACGGAGTCTGACGCTATTGATCTGCAGACTTTAAACAGTCCTGCTCCCAAACGTCTGGCGGGTTTAAATGCGGCCGCCCTGCTCAAGCTGACCAGCACATCCTCGGGAGTGAAGCGCAGGGGTAAAACAGACGGAGCAGTGCGAGGGAAGCAGCTACAGTTGAAATCACGTAAACCGCAGCACAACTTGACCTGTCAGTCCAAGTTAAAAGTATCGCAGCAATGCTGCAGCCTCTGCGAGAAACAAGCCCTCCACACTGAGGCATTGTGGGACGGGAGCACAGGAAGCCATGGCTTTATTAGCCCTGGATATCAGTGCAGATCCATGCTCGGCTATCCCCTCAAGCCTGTGAAGGAAGAGAAAACAGAGACTGATGTGAAATCATATTACTGCTGTTCCCAGGAGAGATCAGTGGAGTACTGCCATAGACTAGCCCTGTTCCTCGGCCAGAAAACCTTCCCGGAAACTGATGAACATTCTCTGAAGGGATTTATTCCTTCTCCTCACACCCTGACGCATCCAGCAATGCCCATCGGTGCCCATCCTTATCCCTGTTACCCTGGGTACTACGTCCACATCGCTCATCACGGGACTCCGACGCTTCCCGTAAGCTCAAATCCAGGGAGCCACGCGGCCTCGTCCGTACCCCCGCTGACAATGTGCACTAGCGGGGTCCAGAGACCCAAACTGCTGCCCTCTTCGGTGTCCCATCCTACGGGGATCCCTCATCCGGCGTACTGTAACTCTGTGGGCACCTGTTATGGAGAGGCCTGCAGGCTCAGCAGCTATGCCTACAGACCCACGCAACCCATCACTAGCAGGGGCTGCTCGTACAACGCAGGATGCTCCAGCTGCATGCACAAAATGGAAACAGGTAGGATGGAAAATGAAATGAAAGTTTAAATTATCTCTTACTTTATCAGATTAGCTCCATAACTGTAACTTTACAGGGAAGTTCGAGCCTTTGAGCTTTAAAGAGAGTGCTTGCTGTTAACTCTGATTTCTGTTCTTGTTATTATGATTGAAGTACAGAGGAGAGAGTGGTAGTAGGTAAGTTGTCACATGTTATATTTAAGTAGGGCTACATCTGATACAATTGGAAAAAATAAGCTATCAAGATGCCATCAATCTTTAAGCACTTCTTAAAGCAAGCATGCACATATGTGCACTAAACAGACAGAGTGCAACAGAAAGGAAACACAATGAGGTTAACTAAAATATATTTGTTGTAATATTAAAGGCTAAATTTAGGTTGGAAATAACTGTAAGGAAAAAAGAAAACATTATTATGCTTTATAATTTAGAGATTTATAACAACTTTATAATACTGTGGACAAGCAGTTATTTGTAAATGTAACATTGTTGTTGTAACTTTTTGTGCTTAATATATAGCATTGTTGAAAAGCATACAGTAAATTAATGCAATCTAATTTTATTATTATTATTATTAATGCAATAGTAATTTTTATATTTGCTGAAGTTCAAAAGTCAGTCAGATTAATACTTCTTTAATCAATACTTTTATTTATTAAGGACTTACAAAATTTATCAAAAACATTGAACATTCCCACTGTTTTTGACTAATACAATATGACTACAATAATAATAATAATTATCATAACTTTATTGTGATTATTATGAAATACAAATAGTAAAATAACATATATATTCTTAAATAAATTGAGTAGACTTGTTTTCAAAATGACATCAGTATGTAAAATAACGAATGATTGAGTTGTAGAGAAAATGTTTTTCTGATGTGGATGGAGTGATTTCCACATTCATCATTCTACACCATGTTTGTATCCTCAACCTTTACCCAGTCTCAGCAGCAGACGTCTTTGTGAATGAGCTCACACAGTCTCTAAAGTGATTGATCTAAAGGTGTACACAACAAATACAGTGACTTTAAGGGATGTCAAGACAAACCCCATCGAAGACGCATCAAGGACTTAAGAAAAAAAAAATCGTCTTGAATAGGAGTCAAATGAAATGAAATTCCCTTCCTCAGTCATGTCATTGTGGCTACATGTTCCCTGCAGTCTGTTCGCTGCTGGTTCGAATGTAATTGCCACAGGTGGGGAGGGTGCTGGTTATTTTTTGTTGGCAGGAGACTTGAACTGTCTGTTCATTGTGAGGTGGCAGCTGTGGTCTCGCAGCCGCTTGTGAACCTCGGTGCAGGCAGGGACCTCTGCAGACATGCTCCCTTGTTGGTTTTTAACCACACGGTTGAGTTATACAGTGTAATTTTTCACTTGCCATAATCTCCGTTAATGAGACAGTAATCTGACTCTCTGCGGGTTTCTCTTTAGGTACAGCATGACTTTACCGTGAAAAGACTAACAAGCAAAACAGAAGCATTTTTTTGTACTACTTTAAAGCTGGTATATTTGGTTTGTTATTAAATGAATGTTCAGATTGTGCAATTTATACTTTATACTTGAAAAGATACTCTCACATACACAATCTGCTATACTGAACAATTCAATACTGTATGCATTAAAAGCTGAGTTTTAGGGAGAGTGCAAATTGATTAAAGCTGTCTATATACTGTAGGGAGAAGTTTTCTTCCAATAACGCTTCATGCTTGATTGAAGCTGCAATGAGTGCATTATGCCTTAAAAGCGATCTCTATACACAGAGGCCAAACCCTGTGAACAAGGTTATCTTAAGTATTTTTATCCTTTATTTGTGTAGACAGAGTGTGATTACCACTCCACAATGCCATTGTGTGCACTTAGTCTGAGGGCTGTTTGATTTGTTCAGAATTGGTGTTCAATTTACATTTGTTGCCTCTGTTAGATTTTCAGGATTCCAGATTGTAATAAAATGTCTGCGTTTGCTATTCATTGATGTCAAACCTCAGGGGATGGGTAGCGTGATAGCGCTGATAGATCTGTCCTGCATGCCTGATTTTGCACGAGAGGTCCCTGAGGAGATCGTCCTGCTTCAGGTTAAAACAAACAACAGGTTAATCAGCGATTATAGAGTCATTCTTCTTTCTTCGTTACAGTGGGCAGTAACACCGTAATTTAAAAAAAAGATAATTGAAATGATTTCAGGTAAGACACTCTGACCTCTCTGACCTCCAACCCTGTGCTGGTTTGACCTCATATATAGACTGAACCGCATTAGATGACTGAAAAATGAAACTCAGCAGCCTCACCTGATTTGCAGTTTAATTTAAAAATTGAAAACTTATGATTTCATTTAGAAAACTTTTTAAAGGAGTAGTTCACTCAAACATGAAAATGTACTCACCCTCAGGCCACCCAAGATGTAGATGAGTTTGCTTCTTTATAAAAACAGAATTGGAGAAATTTTGCATTACAGTACTTGCACAGTTTTTCATTGCACAAGACATTAAAGGGTTAGTTCACCCAAAAATTTAAATTCTGTCATTAATTACTCACCCTCATGTCATTCCATACCCGTTCCAAATTCTCATGTCACCCATTCTCTGTCTATTGGTGAGCAAGTGATGTAATGCCAAACAAACTCATCTACATCTTGGATGGCCTTAGGATGAGTACATTTTGATGTTTTAAAGGTCGGTTTATGAACTATAAAACTTAAAATGGTTTTGAAATGAAATGTTTTTTATCCTAATTTGACAGTTCCCAACTATGCACTTTTAATTTCTTGTAATTGCACAGTTGCATTTCCCACAGTGCCTCCTACATTTAGGGAGTATAAAGAAATAGTTTGCCCAAAGATATATTCTCTACATGAAAAGTAACAAGTATTCATTTCTAGATGAGTTTAAATTATAGTGCAACCAGTGATGAAATAAGATCTGTCATTATTTACTCACCCTCATGTCATGTCATGGCAAATGCATATGCTGAACACGAATGGAGAATTTTCACAACATTTTTCATACAACAACAGATGATAAAGACTAATTTAGTGCATGACACATATTGTATGGACTACTTCATGCTTTTATAGTGCCAAACAGTCGAAGATCAGCCGTCGCCGGGCAACAAACGGCTGGCTGCCTGTTGGTGTGGCAACAGAAAAGGAAGTATTCATTGTGGTATGTATTTTAGTTGCCCTGTCCTGGGATATTGGAAGTTTCTTTAAAAAAACATTTAGGGATCCAGAGCAAGACTTAAAGCAGCGGTTCATTGAACTAGTTTGCGTTTATTCCTGAGAAATGACTAAGTGATGCCCCAGGCATTTTCCTTAGAACAACACTTGTGAAATGTCAGTAGTAAACACAGTGAATTGCATTCATTGGAAATGACATTATTATTATTATTATTATTATTAAATTCCAGTGAGGTGCTTTCAAACAAATATTTCTAAACATGTTTTAAATAGCCAGTGGGCAAACCTCAGACAATGAGCGGTTGCGTTTTAAAAATGTTTGCACCATGCTGCTTTTTCTATTTCTCCATTTTAGCATTTTTATGAACTAGAACATCTGTATTAAATTGAGAGTTTATGAAATGTTTATACACAACACTTTAGGATTCAGAAGGCAGTCTGTGTAGTCGACCACACTGCTGACTCATGACTTTACTAGGTCTATGGGCTGCTCTTTAGGGATTTGGATACTAGTCCTAGCCTGGTCAAATAGAGAAATAAATAAAAAGTAATTTTCATGAAATACTCTATGTAATCATGGTATGTGTCAACCAAATCAGAATATTAGAATGACTACTGAAGGATCATGTGACACGGAGGACTGGAATGGCTGCTGAAAATTCAGCTTTTCCATCACAGGAATAAACTACATTTCAGGGATCAATTACATTACAGGAATATATGACGATTATATTCAAATAAAAATGATCTTAAATTGTAATAATATTTCACAGCATTACTGTTTTCACTGTATTTTTGTTCAAATAAATGCAGCCTTGTTAAGCATAAGAGACTTTTTTCAAGAACATTTAAAAAAATCTATCACCCAACTTTGAATGGTAGTGTAGATATTTTTCTGCACTCAATTCAAATATGATTTTTTATCATTTTAGTGGCAGTGCTATAATTATAATGTTGACAGCGTGCTGTGCTTATTTAAAGTGTGCATTTTTAAATTAATCTGCTTTAAAGTGCCTCTCCTCTGGCCCACATGTTGCATTTGTAAGACATCAAGTGTCAAGTTAAAATACTTTTTGATATGCATTTTGAGACTAGTCATTTAGGCAACCCACAGACTACGTGATTAAGCTATTTTAAGAAAAGCTTTAATTAATCAGGCTGGTTTCACATTGAGCCCTACTTGGAGGTTTTAAAATGTAGTTTTTCAAATATCTGACATGATCCAAAAGTGTATAATAAGATAGAATGCAGTGTGTAGCTCTGTATTTTTCCTTTCATTTAAGGGTGAGGACTCCACATCCCTACGCAGGTGCTATGAAGGAGTGCAGAGAGATGGAGAGGTTATCAGGGTCAGAGAGACAGTGCTACTGCGCTCAGGTCCCAGGAAGAAGTCCTTGCCTTACGTGGCCAAAGTCTCTGCCTTCTGGGAAGACCCCGAGTCAGGTAAACCTTTTTCTAAACTATGTTTTCTCTAACACATCAATGAAAGCCACAGAAGACCTCATAATACTCTGTTCCTACTTTCAGGGGAGCTGATGATGAGCTTGTTTTGGTACTACCGCCCAGAACACACTCAGGGGGGTCGCAATCCCAGCATGCACTGTGAGGTGAGTCTAGAATTGTTTGTGGCACAGCAATGTGGTCCTCTGGGGACTAGCAATGTCAACATTTGACTTCCTTTGATTATGAGTTTCATAGAGGAAGTAGGCAGCACAAGTTTCCTGTGTTCACTAAACCACTGAAATAGGGACACAACAAATAACTCCCAGCACTCTCAAACACGTTATGAACACTGTATCTATACTATAATTCATAAATGGACATTTAACATTCCTGCATCTTCCAACATCAATATGTGATGTAATTCTAAGTTTCAAAAGACTGCATTTTTTTTCTCAGTGTATTTGTTGCAATATTTATTTTATACATTTACAGCATGGATATTCTCTTAAGTTGAATATAAAATATTGATGGTGTGTGAATTTTTCCAGAATGAGATTTTCGCGTCTCGGCATCAGGATGAAAACAGTGTGGCATGTATCGAGGATAAGTGCTATGTGTTGACATTAGCACAGTACTGTAGGTGAGTGATTGTATTTATCAGCTCATTGCAAGTGTCAAATTTCATGTCCTTTGTATAAATCAAATGCGATTTTGAATGTTTCAGATTTTGTGCCTTGGTGAAGTGTCGTGAGGAGGGCTTTCCCAGACGTAGCTCCCTGGTCCCTCCTTCCAGCTATGTAATTCCAGCTCATCGTTGCGTGCCCAACGACATCGACCCCGATTTGGTGTTCGTCTGCCGCCACGTTTACGACTTCCGCTTCGGCCGTCTGCTGAAAAACCTGCAGTAGGTCTGAATGGAGCCATACAATGAAACCAGAATCCAAAACGTTGTGACACAATCAAAGCCCTATCAACTGGATGGCCACAAGTCTTTAGGGAGTTGTTGTTATTTTCTGTTTTCCTTTTAGGATAAATGCTCTCGGCGTAGCACTTCTGAAAAAAGTTATCCCTTGTGACTTTGTAGAACGGCATTCTGAGCACAACTACCTTGAGTTCAAAGGTACCGATCGCCAAAATGTGATTTTTCACGCCATGAATTTGAGTATTTATTTTTGCAGTTATCTTTATATTTGCTGAACGAGTGTAAAAAGACGAAGAAATTAATGCAGGTACATTAAGAATGACCTTGAATTATGGAATAGAGTTCTAATGCTCTCTCTTTGGAAGTAAACGCACCCTAATCTGTAGATTGAAGGCTAAAAATATTTATTTTTAGATTAATTGAACACAAGCTCCGTCTTTTAGGAGGCACCAATCAGTTTGATCCACAGCGCAATGGCCAATCATTCATTCAGTAATCGTAACAGGGTGTGGGGGACCATAGACATATCGTGGCGGACCAAATATCCAAGAATGCATTTGGTTAACTTAACATTCTGTTGATCGACCAATGAGTAATGAGCTTTCGTCCTCCCGTCGCCCATCATGACTTGCCTTATATCCAACACCGAGGTTCCCCCGTTTTCTGCCTTCCCAGCAAACCAAAGGTTATCACGCCGCTCCTAATCATCCACCTTCGCGACTCCATTAGTTTGCACTAAAACTTATCATTCACAGAGTCAGCAGTCTGACTCAGTTCAAAATGTCACCTGCTGCTGATCTCCAATGCAGGAAAATACTGTGTATTTGTTGTACGTGTATAAAGAGATACGAAAGAACTCGCTAAATGTCAGTTACAAATGTGAATGGACAAACTTTCTCGCACACACAGGCGTGCTTTCAACGTGTGCTTCTCGTCCTACATGGTAGTTTTGTTACAAGATCGCTAATTATGATATGAGAAAGCTGTTTTATATGGTCTGTTTGTGCCTTTATATAGTTAACAGTCTGCTATGTGAAGAAATATAGCAGGGGGGGGGGGGGGGTTTGGTTTTGTTTTTCCTCAAATGCTGACCTTCACACTTCCCTGTTTTGGACTTTTTTTTTTTTTTTTGCATAAGATAGAGTTAAAGAGTAATATTGTACTCACAGGGTCTCAAAAAAGGTGAAACTCCGATAAGATTAGGAGACCTGTTTGTTTGTTTTTTTATTTTTGTTGTTGTTTTTTTACATCAAGACAATTTGTCTTAGGTTAACAACTTTTTTTGTGTTCAGATATGCTTTAAGGTATTCTTGAATCCATTCCTTTCATGGTATTGAGATCTGAGTGAATATGAATCAGTCAGAAGTAATTTTGTCATTGTGATGAAGATGCGATATGATTTTTGTCATTCGGTTGTTATAATCTCTTTGCATAGCATA